CGGAACCCACTGAGAATTTGGTAAACTAGAGCTGAAATCTTTTGTAGAGAGAGAGAGAGAAAGGGGTTTTCGAGTTCTTATGCGACGGAATCCATGTTGGAGAGGAGGAGGATGATCGAGTGGGAAGCAGGGAGAATCTGGATGTTAATGGAGAATAAATTGAGCTAAGGATTGGGGAATTTGCTGGAAATCGATTGGTTTCTTCTCTTTTTTTTTACATGAAATGCTATCATGGGTAAGCAACAATCCTTGCGCAGCAAAGCAGTTCATCTTGTCTCCGATATCACCACCGTTCTTCTCAACCCAATTTCTGATAAACCTTCCGCGAGAACCTCTGCTCATCCTCATCATCATCATCATTCGCCTGTGAGTTTGTCTCTCTCAAGCTGGAATAGGATTTCAATTTTTTTTTCTTTTTTTTGCTTTGCTATCCTTCGATTGTTCTTCTGGCAGTTCTACTTCGGGATTTTATACGTTTTTCTTTAGCATGTCTTTTATGGACGGGATGGCTCTGATTTCATTTGGTTTGACTTAATCGGTGGTTGTTATATGCCTTTATTTGTCTTGATCGTTAATATTTGTACATAAATGTAGGGCAGAAGGTTAGATTCATCCTGTTCGAATGGTTGTTGATAGGGAATTTCACTCCGCTTCTGAAAATAAACGTGTTTTTCTTCTTGTAATGGAACATTTATGTATAGAGATGTTTGTTAATGGGAATTACCTGAGGTTTCAAAGTCTCATCGGGAGTAGGCAGTCATGTCCAATCTTTAACTGGATTGGCATTTTTCTTTTAGGAGGATGCGAGCGACCTTAAAGACAACAGTGATCTAGGGTCAGCTAGTGAACAGGGTTCTGAATTTTCAGATGATGGCCCTGATACATCTTCATTCACTGCATTCCTGTATTCCCTCTTGTCGTCCTCAGAATCGCGGGAAAATTTGAACTCCGATGAACACAGTGATAATCAGGCCGTGGCAGCCGGTCAGCCAATGAACAATGCTGCGAAAGAAACTGTTACGAAGAAGAGCTTGTTTTCTAGGGGGAAACAATCACTTGGTAGAGCTTTTCATCATGCTGCAAGAATCACTGGCTACCGAAACCAGGAGCGGAAGAGTGATGTTGAGATGAAAGTTAATGATGCTAAATTTTCTGGAATTGAGATGATGGAGAAGCCAAATGTAATCGAGGTTGCTTCATCAGTTGACGATGTCCCTGATGCGTCTGAGCCTTCACTGCTCCTTTCGGAAAAAAGTAGAACTATTCTTTATGCTTCCCTTCCAGCTCTAGTTCAGGGGAGGAAATGGCTATTGCTATACAGGTGAAGAGCTCCAGCATTTTGTTTTATAGATTATGTTTCTAGAAATGATCATGGGATTTCAATTATTTATACTCTATCATCTGATTCGTAAATATATATCGGTCGTGCAATGCAGTACATGGAGGCATGGGATATCGCTTTCAACTCTATATAGGAGAAGCATGCTTTGGTCTGGGCTCAGTTTGCTGGTAACTATAAATTTAATTTTTCTATGACAAGTTTGCTTTGATATGTATTCATCCTAAACCATGTCTGTTGAATGAATGTAGCAAAAAGTTCTTTTCCTTTGAATAAAAATGTAGAGTTGAACTATCAATTCAAGCATATCTGAGTGAATAAGACACTAATTATTATCTCAAAAGTCGATGATTCGGTCTCTCACTGCTACAATTGCCACCGATGCATATAAATATTACATATATGCAATAGCTTCTGTCAGACAATGTATCACTTACGCATAATTTACTTCTAGGTTGTCGGGGACCGTAAAGGTGCTGTATTTGGCGGTTTGGTGGAAGCACCGCTAAAACCGAGCAGCAAGAAAAAGTATCAGGTGCTTCTTACACGTCTTTACTCTTTACTTAAAGCATAGTGAGGAAGTGTCTGCAATTGACCTTATCTTATCATGAATCTTGAATAGGGAACAAATAATACTTTTGTGTTCACAAGTATACCTGGCCATCCTGTGATTTATCGCCCCACAGGTACTTATAAACCTTGTTTAATATTCATTCACCAGAAGTCTTTTCATACCAATCTTTTGCATATTCTTTGTGAATTGACATTGTTTTACTAGTAACCACAGATTCAGTTCATTGGCAACCTTTGCCACTATCCTTAAATGATTATGCAAGTTTATTATGAACTTAAGAGTTAAATATTGGTTGGGGTACTAGGTAAGTAATCATTCCACTGATCATTGAGCTTAAGAAAATGAAGATACTGTATTTGATCATTTTGTAGCTATAATATTTTGCTTAGCATTCTGTTTCTTTGCCTAATCTTGAGATTAACTACGTTCCTTCTAGGAAATGGGGCAAATTATGCCCTTACACCATTTTCATGGCCGTATTCTTGTGGCTAATGAAAGTACTGCAACTCCTTTATCTTTATCTATTGGAAACTTTGGATACCCTTTTGTCTCTCGTTGTGAGGACTAGCCTGAATTTTCTCTCGAGTTGCGAATTTGAACATTCCACACAATAATGTTGATAAATATCGACCATGACTCAGTTTTTTCATGCACGAGCTTCAAATGGCCTAATTAGGGTTTCGGTTTTAAGCCTATACGTAAAGTGCTATTGGCACTTTTTCTCCGAAATTTGAGTTAAATTAATCGAATTTGAACATTTCCTAATTGGGCCGTTTGAAGCATGCACGTGAGAAAACTGAGTTACGGTCGATATTTTTCAACATTGTTGTAGGGAATGTTCACAAAATTTCAAATTCGATTAATTGGACTCAAATTTCAAAGAAAAAGTGCCCATAGCACTTTACGTACAGGCTTAAAACTGAAATCCTAATTGGACCGTTTGAAGCGGGTAATTGCATGTTCTTGAATCTTGTTAGGGACCTATTCTAAGATTGCTAATAATACTCGATGGGTGCTGCCTTAGAGTTCTCTTTCTTACATGGTTTTAAAACTTCAAATTGATTCAACCAGGTGAAAATTACTATTTCACATTGTGCTCACCGGACTTCTTAGCCATTGGCGGTGGCAGCCATTTTGCACTCTATTTGGACAATGACCTGTGAGAACACTAATTAACTGCCCCTTTTAATAGTCTATGGTCATATCAGTTATCTTAAGTAAACTTTCAACTTAATCATATGCTTATAAATATGTTCTTGAATTTAAGATTGAATGGATCAAGTTCGACATCGGAGACGTACGGAAATCCTTGTCTTGCAAATACTGAAGAATTTGAAGTGAAGGAAGTTGAGGTGATTGTAGAACGTCACAGTTCATAAATTTTATAAATTCTAAGATCTAAGATCTGTTTTTAAGTAACCTACCACTGATTCTAAGATCTGTTTTATAAATTGTGTATTTAATGCAGTTATGGGGCTTTGTATACACCTCACAGTATGAAGAAATGCTTGCTTTGAGCCGAACTGAAGCACCTGGGATTTGTCGTTGGTGAACGATTTTCAAATACAACCAGAACCGCAGCTTTACCGAATGAATCGACATCCTGTGGATCTCATAACCATCTAGACATGATTATATGATGATGAAGGCCGATGAACTAGTTAAAGAAATGAGAAGGTTGAATGGGTATTTCTGAATCTGAATCCTTCTCCACACTTGTACATAAAAACTTCACACATGTGCATATAGAAGTGTGCAGTTTTGCTTTCCTTTACTTGTACCTAACTTTGTTTGAAGGGCATTGTTTTGTTGGGATATCATATTCTGAGTATTTATTCAATGAATGATTTGCCCTTTTGCTTCTTCTTTTCAGATAAGTTGCCTCATTTCACTTATATTACACTTTATATGGTTCTCGTATGAAACTTTGGGGAGGTGAAAATTTGCTTATTAGGGCCTGTTTCTTCACGTATATTACCATTTATGGTCCCGGTGTGAACTTTTGGGGAGGAGACAACGCGTTTTAAAACCATGAGGTTGATGGTGGTATGTAACAGGTCAAAACAGATAATATCTATTAGCGGGAGGGTTTGGGTTGTTACAAATGGTATGGTATCAGAGCCAAATATTGGACGGTGTGCGATGAGGACACTAGCCCCCAATGGAGTGGATTGTGTGATCCCACATCTTGGAGAAGAGAATGAAACAATGCTTATAAGGTGTGAAAAATTTCTTAGGAAAGTGTGAAAACCTCTCCCTAATAGACATATTTAACTGTGAGGTTGATGATGATTCGCAACATGTTAAAATGGACAATATATGCTAGCGGTGGACTTAGTTTTTTTGTATCTAGCAGACTCGAATTTTAGATGAAGAACCTATTGAACAAAAAAATAAAAATTTATGAACCTCTTAACCACAAAATTACTTAAAAATTTATTAACCTCTTAAGCACAAAATTACTTTTTAAAGTTTAATGATGCGAACTTAAAAGTTTAAGTTCGAGATCTAATTTAACCTTTAGAATAAGTCACAAGGTTCATTTTTATACCAACAAAAAAAAATGAAAAGAGGTTAATATCTCATAGAACTGAAATATCAGATATTCAAGTCATAACACAGGGTTGTTTTAAGCTCGTAACCTATAAAATTTCTTATTAAAAATTATTTTTATTTATTATTTGACACGTCATTAAATGATATATTATTTTATTTTATAGATTCGACGTTATTCTTAATTTTTTTTCCCAACAATTTTAGAAAATCATATAATTAATTCTACCATCACAAAAGCTATTATTTTAAATATATGAAAATATTATTTGCCTTATATAGAACATTTTCTATTATTCATTTTTCCTCCATTTCTTCAGATCTTGAGAAGCCATTTTAGGCATCTTGGTTTAACAGAGCTTTACACGCTTGGGAGTTTTTTTTCTTACTCTTTATTATTGCAAGTATGATTTCCTTTAACTTCATGATACTGTACCAGCTTTACATGGTTGTTCTTCTATCTGTGTAGATTCATAACAGTTTCTCTTTCAGATTTTCGTAGAAGAACGTTATTGAAATCATTTCAAGGTTTTTTTTTTTTCCAATCTGTTTTAGGAGTAAGAAATTCTGTTTGTTCTGTTTTTCTTTTTCGATCTCGTTCGGTGGTAGCTGATTTTAGCTATCTCTTCGGATTTCTCGTCAACCTCTCCCGGATTTTAATACCCTAACCAATTTTATTTTCAAATTTGTCTCTGATTGGCTGTTTACTCTAATTTTGGGCTTCTGAATCTTTGTTTTTGTTTTTCTTTTTTTCGAATTGAACTGAGAATTTTATTCGTAGATCCGGACTTGATGATTTTTGGGACAGAAACCCTTAATTTACAGGGTTTTCCCCCAGCGGTTGGGAATAATTGACATCGGCTATTGGAAACTGACCTCTATTTGCTTCAACTTTTTCATTGATTGCTTTATAATTACATTAAGGAACAGTTAACATGATGCGTAGTTTCGATGTTTTTTCTTTTTGTAGCTTTTATGACACAATTTTTGTTTTGTTTTTCATCTTTGTAAAGGAAAGGTAGTAATATTTGATGGAGGATTGTGATAATCGGCACTGGGATGAGCTATTCCCTGATGCACTGGGTCTTATATTTAGGAATTTGTCACTACAAGAGATACTTGTTGTAATCCCAAGGGTTTGCAAATCATGGAGAAAAACAGTGTTGGGGCCTTACTGCTGGCAGGAGATAGACATTTTGGATTGGAGCTTACTTCGAGATCCCGATACCATCAATCGAATGCTTCAAATGTTGATTTCAAGAAGATCGGGTTCCCTTTGCAAGCTCTGCGTTAGCTGCCTTCCTAATGACTCTTGTTTGTCCCTGATTGCAGAACAGTGAGTTCAATAAGAACCCCCTGTTATTGTCTTCTTCTTTAATGCACTGGTGTTTCAGCTACTCCTGTTTGTTGAAATTTTACTCCCTCTTTGGATATCATAATTATATTGTTTGGTCAAATGAGTGCTAAAACTATGATTATCTCTGTTTCCCAAAGGAGTTAGGCATCTTGTAACAGCTCAAGTCCACTGTTAGCCGATATTGTCCTCTTTGGGCTTTCCCTTTTGGCTTTCCCTCAAGGTTTTTAAAATGCAAACGTGTCTGCTAGGGAGAGGTTTTCACACCCTTATAAAGGGTTTTCCTTTTCCTCCCCAATCGGTGTAGGATCTCACAATTCACCCCCTTCGAGGTCGAGCGTCCTCGCTGACACTCATTCATTTCTCGCTGGCACTCATTCATTTCTTGCTGGCACTCATTCATTTCTCCAGGCACTCATTCATTTCTCCAATCAATGTGGGACCCCCACCAAACCCACCCTTTTGGGGCCAACGTCCTTGCTGGCACATTGCCTCATGTCCACTCCCTTTGGGGCTCAACCTCCTCGCTGGCCCATTGCCTGGTGTCTGGCTTTGATACCATCTGTAACAACCCATTGTCCTCTTTAAGCTTTCCCTTCTTCTCAAGGTTTTTAAAACGCCTCTCGTTCTCTTTCCCAACCGATGTGGGATCTCACACATCTTGATCCAAGTGTTGTGGTGTGCTGTGCAATTGAATGGTCAAGTTTGGCAGAAAAGTGTTCTATGGTTAGATGAGGAAAAAAAGAAAAAATAGAAACATTCCTTTTTTAAGTTTGGAGTTTCAACCTGGAGGATCAGAGGATCTAAAATCTCTAATTTAGAGAATATGTACGAAATTGTGTCCAATACCTCATATGCTTGAATATGCCGATTGTCTATACATTAATATCTTACATTCCTGATTGACAGTGGAACAGCTCTGCATACACTACGGCTACCAAGAAGTGAAATAACGAATTCCATTGTAGAACAGGTTGCTGAGAGGTTTTCTGCTGTAACTTTTTTGGATCTAAGCTTTTGTAAAAACATTGGAGCATCGGCTCTCGAGGCGATTGGGAAACATTGTGCGAACCTCACAGGGTTGCGCAGAGTTATGTGCCCATTTGAAGCCCTTGACAAGTCTTCTCAAGATGATGAGGCCCTTGCAGTTGCATCGACAATGCATAAGCTCAAGCACCTTGAGATTGCCTATTTGCTTATCAACACTGAATCGGTTCTAAGAATCCTCGAGAACTGCCCAGATCTTGAGTATTTAGATGTGCAAGGGTGTTGGAATGTGATACCAGATGAGACGTTCAAAAAGTTTTCGAGGGTGAAATTGGTCGGTCCATTGGAAGAAATCTCAGAGTCGAACAGATGGGATGATTTTGATTGCTCAAATTACTCAAGTTCTTCTGGCTACTTGGCGTGGGATTTTGTGGCTGATGAATTAGATGATGAATTTGAAATGCTGGAGTTTTTTGGAGAAGATTATAGAAGTGTGGATGATATGGACCATGCTTATTCTGATTCATCTGCGGGGTCTCCTTGAATGTTGCTCCTACGTCTGGCTTTGAAATGGTGAACCTTTTGTTTCACTTAACCAAACAATAGAGCCCTTGAAATTGGGTTAGCTTTATGGTTGGTTAAACTATGATCATATGAATACTTTTAGCCTTGTTAGTAACTCTGTAGATTAGAAATGGCGTCCATTGAAGTCAGTAAGAGATATCCAAATGCAGGTACAAAAAGCAGCACCATTGAAGTTGACCCGAGTTACCTGACCATCGACTTGGTTCGGGCTGATCGAAATTGATGGCATTCCACTGCAGCTGGTAATATCGGTTGGTTTGTGGGAATATGTCTCTAGGTTTGTGAATGTATGGCAATGATTTTTTCTAACCTTGTTGAGGGTGAAATTATCTTCTTACCATAGGTTAGAAAAGCATGATATGCCTAGAAAGTTTCTTCCTCCTCTCTCATCTCTATTTTCATTTCTTTCCTCTTCTCTCTCATTAACTTAAGCAGGATGAACATTGTATGATCCAAATTGAAGGCTGACATGATCGTTTCTGAGTACAGTAATAGCCAAATGAGCTTGTATCAGAACATTTTGTTCAATTTTAATGAATACAAACGAAGAAACGATCATTTTTGTCTTCAATTTGGATTACACAAGGTTTATGTACAATATTTTCAACTTTTTATGTTTGTCTCCATGGTGGGTGAGAGGGGAGAGAGGATGAGAAGTAGGAGAAGGTAAAAAGAGGAGCGAGAAAGAGAAGAAAAGATTGAAGTGAGAGAGAAAGGAAAAAATGTTGACTATACAAGGACCAAAAAGATATAAAGAACGTGAAGCGTAAAGTGCAATTAGATCCATTTTGAAGATGGAATACAAGGAGATCAATAGTAAGTCCCCTTTTATTTTGAAGATGGAATACAAGAAGATCAATAGTAAGTCCCCTTTTCGATTCATGAACCTAAACCTATTTATTCCCTAGTGCTGCTCTTTGTGGGAGTCTAGGTCGTGTCCCAGTTCCAGTGTGGCTGATTATCCGTCTTTGAGTGTCGATTTTCGCTTAGACCGACTCTAAAGCTCTATCCTAGAAGTGAGAGAGAAAAAGAAGAAAAATGTTGTAGCTCTAAAACCGATAAAAAAAAAAAAAAACATGAGACTAGAAGGATAGGGAATGTATATATTTTTTTCTTTGTAACCTAAGAAGTTCTTGAATATTTTCTCATTGCAGAATAATTCTTGCCAAACTCATTGATTCAAGATAAATTTCAATATTTTTAATTTTAATTTTTGTCTCCTACGTATTAATTTCATGGTCTACTATAATACATATTTATAGAGCAATAATTACCATTATAATCATTATAATCAAAATATTAAATTCTAAATTAAAAAATAAACATAGATTAAAATAAATTATGTGCACATGAAATTAAAATAAATTATGTGCACATGAAAGTTTCCTACTATATGTATATTTCCAAATTTTTTCTTTCTTTTTTGAGTGAATAATAAAAACATCCACTAATTAAAATAATTTTAAATCCAAAAATTTATTATTAATAAAGAAAAATATTGAAGGACACGAAAGTCTTTTTCATTCACAAACCCTAATCCGTGTTTGAAAAGAGTTGACAGATTTGTTTTACATGTCAATAACCTAATCGACAAAAAAGAAATAAATAAATAATAATAATAATAATTCTATTATAATTCTTTAAACGACCTCTTACAATAAACACAAAATTAAAAGTTCAAGATCGTTTGGACTTTTGAAAGTTTGGAAACTAAGCTTTAAATGGAATTTACCCTAGATGAGGTCGGTTCGAGTTTGCATGTGTTTATCTGAATTAAGTCGAAGATATGAAAGCACATGAACGCTGTTAAACGTAAAATAGATCATATCTGTATATACTAAGATAATCTAGGATTTACTACCAAATTTATGATTTGAAGGGTTTGTTACCTAATCTATGATTTCATGGTTTGTTATCAAATCATAGATTTGGAATATAATCTTCATTATACACATCTATAAATACATGAGGTCGTGACCCATATAGGTCATCGTGCCATTCAATCTAACAAATGCAACACGATCCCCTTGAAATCTCTATTCCATTTGTGCACAAGCTAAGTTCATGATCAGAATTTTCATCTTCTTATAAAACGTTGTTTAAATAGCAATTTCAACAACTTCAAACACTCATAAAGCTACAATATTGGTTGAGAGCGTATCTGATTGGATCAAGCAGATTTCTCAGCTGCTTCTTCTTCCTCTCGCAACTTCTTCAGAGATGGAGGTGGTCTGACCACAATACTTTTCTTCCACTTTCTATCTAACTTTCTTGACAACCTTTTGCCCACTCCCTCTTCAATCTCTCTTTCACGTTTTACGGTTAGCATCCGAGCAATCTGTCATCGGACAACCAATAACAAATTAACGATTCAAAATTCCAAGTTTCGTGGAGTATGCGATACGAAATCGAAGTTGTTAGCAAGTCCAAAACATTGGTTATATAGCTGCGATGTTACAATCTTAAAGTAGATGAAGATTAATTATAAGAATGATATAAACTTCCCAACTGTCCTGCATCAGCAATACTCAATAGATATTAGTTGATCTCGCAATATTGAGTCGTTGAAACGTTGTTAGGCACCGAGTTTATTGAGAACCGAGATTATCAAGCACCATTCCGTTGTTCATGACCCATATCTCTGAGGAGGCTTTGTCTACTTCGAAGTAGGTAAAATTATTCGGTGAAGCAGCCACAATGCGGCGGAAAGTTTTTTTCCATTCGATGTAAAGAAATACCTTGAATTTATATCATCTACTAGTATCTACTGGTTGCTACGAAGCATGCAAACTATTAAATCTACATGCAACCATAGCGACCTCTTGAATAATTTTTTTTTTTTTTTTCCGAAGTGGGCATTGGAGGCAAAATCCAAGTACTAAGTTACCTAGTTAGGGGCTTTGAACCAAGACTTTAGAGGGTAACTACAAAGATCTCAAGACCTTATCATGACGCCGTGGGATTAGACCAGAGATGCAAGAAGTTTGCAACCTAAATGTCAGACTTGACACCATAAAACTATGGGAATGGGCAAGTCTTACCACAATTGCAGTGCAGAACATCCCTCCATCATAATCATATGTGAATTCTAAAGAAGACGCTAGTCTTACTGAACTCATAATGTGTAAATAAATTTTTACCATTCAACAACATCTCATTTATGGGATCTCATATCGATTGGAGAGAGGAACGAGTGCCAGTGAGGACGTTGAGTCTCGAAGGTGAGTGGATTGTGAGATTCCACATCGGTTAGGGAAGAGAACGAATCATTTTTTATAAGAGTGTGGAAACCTCCCCTAGCAAACGCGTTTTAAAAACCTTAAAGGGAAGTCCGAAAGGGGAAACCTAATGAGGACAATATCTATTAGCGGTGGACTTAATGGACTTGGGCTGTTACATCGTCATTTCAGGACTTTGTTCAGTGCAACCGTAAGAGGCCCATAAGACAATTCCGATATCCAGATTAAGCACCAAGCATGCAGAAGTTTTGGTATAGAAGTCATGAGAAGGCTACATATGGTTCAAATGCAAAACCCTCTCTCTTATGCATTAGACATTGTGATCCTTCCATGATCAAAATAGGTTTGGCCTCTCCAATTAACCAACTTCATATGAAAAAGATAAGTTAATCTAAACCCAAACTGAATCAAGATTTCCACATTTATGGCTCATTCATGCTTCAGGCATTCTGGGAATCTTAAACAAAATGTTAGCATGAAGACATTCAAGAGTTTTTAGAACATACCCCTAATCGTATCGAAAATGTAAAATCCACAGGTGCTATTTCTAATAGTTGTATTTGGAGTCAATCTTAGTTCAATATGAAGTTGTTAGTGTTAAAAATCCTGCTTTCAATTCATTTTCTGATTCTGATTGGATTTCTACGTTCCAGAGCACATTCTAATTGGCTCTATCTTACTCTAAATGCAACTTCTACTTCTGAAACTTTTTCCAAACATAGTGAAATATTGTTTTAGTTCATCTCGTTGGATGATGAAAGTCCCACATCCGCTAATTTAGGAATGATTATGGGTTTATAATCAACGAATATTCTCTCTATTGGTATGAGGCCTTTTGAGGAAGCCCAAAGCAAAGCCACGAGAGCTTATACTCAAAGTGTACAATATCATACCATTGTGGAGAGTCGTGTTCGTCTAACATGGTATCAGAGTCATGCCCTAAACTTAGTCGTACCAATAGATTGGTAAATCTTCAAATGTCGAACAAAGGACTCCAAAAGAAAAGGAGTCGAGCCTCAATTAAGGGGAGGTGTACTTTGTTCGATGGGAAGTGTTGGATGATGAAAGTCTCCCTTGGTATGAGGCCTTTTGGGAAGCCCAAAGCAAAGCTACGAGAACTTATGCTCAAAGTGGAAAATATCATACCATTGTGTAGAGGTGTTCATCTAACACATCTCTCTAGACTGTCAACTCAAATCTAAATCCTAAATTGATTCTTACAAAAATGTATAGTTCTAGAATTATTTTAGTCTGCAGATTATCTATTTCTACACTTCTTCTCTTTTGGCGGCAAACAATAGCCAATAATCTTAGATCCCCAATAAAAACCAATGAGCTCTAAACTTGAATCCTACCAATAAATCTTGCACAGATAAGCAAAAAAATGGAGGATAGGAGACAGTAAAACGTATAAGTTTGAGACGAACATAATAGCCACATTTCAATTGAACTCAAAATTAACTAAGAATCCATCGACGAGGGAAAAGAAGTACCCGTTTGCGCATGCGGCGGAATTCGCTAGACTTAAACTCATTGCGGGCTGATTTTTGAAGCCGAAGCATAAGAAGTTCACCCTTGAGATCGACGACCTCTTCGTTTATTTCCTCAGTAGTTTTCGCTCTGATATCTTTCAACTCCTCCTCCCTCTTGGCCATCATTACCACCGGCGAATTGCGGCCTCCGGTACATGCTGCTTTAGGAGGAACGCGACACGAAAATGGGAAACGGATTTGAAGGCCATTGAAGGATGATTTGGAGGTCGAGCTAAGAAACTTTGCAGGTATAGCAACGCTCGAAGGCGAAGCAATTGAAAGGTTCATCATGTTCAGAGTGTGTTCGTAGAGTTCGCTCAGTCAGCTACGATTCAAGAAGAAGATAAGCTCTCTCCCCTTCTATTATTGTTATTTTCGATTCTCTTTTAAAAATTCTAGGTATAATTTAAGGGTATTTGTTAAATAATTTAATTTTTAAAATTTTAAAATAGAGCTTTTTAGCCTTTAAATTTTTTAAAAATCAAAATAAAGTGTAAATTTAATGCATTTTTTATTTGCTAACGAGCTTATTAATTTTTTATAGATTAAAAAAGACGCGGTAAATCTTTAAAATATGGTTTATTTATAAATTAGAGGCGTCCCTTTAATAAAAGCTCTAAGCCACGTAAAACATCGAATGAACGCGCCAAAACGACACGTTTCGGTAAATCCCTAGAGGTAAGAAGATTGCACCATGGACACGAAAACTATGATGCTCGTCAAATATGATAAATAATAGCACACTAAACCATTGTCAATACTTTTAAAAACTCGTCATATGGTCGATCATATGGAAACAATGACCCCATAAATAGCACGACGGTTAGAGAGACAAACGAGGGTTGAACCAAACATTTCCTATTGAAAATCTAACGAAGGTATAACCCTCCAACTACCCGAATATGACTTCCACCTAGACAACTCACGAGGAACCCTGATCAATTACGATAAACCCTAAGAGCTCGTGATAACAATACAACAAGAAAGACAAACATTTGACCGAGCAACTTTATCATCCCCTCTCATACTGACCAACTTCTCATTCCAAAGCTAGGAGCAAAGTTCACGAACAACTTGCACCAAAATAACAAAAAGAATATAGACCCAATAGAGCTCGAAACTCTAGATAGTATATCGAATAAATTGTAATCGACCAGCATAAGATAACAACCTAGAAGACCAACTTCTTACACGAGCGGTAACTCTATTCAAGAGAGGTAAACAATCAACAAATAATAACCTTCTCGAAAAGGTAAACGAAACCCGTAAACGTTAGGAACCTATTAACATTTAGAAGCGTTGAAATTCAAACATCTAATTGGTCGATATCGGTTGATATCGGTGGATCATTTTGTTTCGAGTATCAAACCAAAGGGTGGGGCATGTAAGGAAATGGGCCAAGTTATTAGAGGAGCGCTTAGCGTAACGAATGGCGAAAGAAGATCTATGAAACCCAAAGCCCGAAAAGATTTATGAAGACATTAGGAGGAACCTTGAAATTAGCAGGAAACGAACTCCATTACAGAAAGCCTTCAAGCAAGGGAGTTTGCAGCCAAACCAAAGCATTCGAGTCTGGACGAGCAAATTCGGCGCTGTTCTTATGGCCGAATGATCGATCTCCAGGGAAGTTTTTGTAAACCCGATTCAATTTTGATTGTTGGAGTTTAGTTCGATCCACGTGGCTTTCTAAATGTTGTTATCTCCATCCATTCTTTAAACTTTCTTCCCTGATTCAACGAAACCCTCGTTGCATCTCCCTTCACTTGACGAACACAAAAACCCTAGAAATTCATTTCTACCACGGAATCCGGGAGCCTGTCAAGCCAGAGATTATTTTTTATTATATGGCCGCCAATTTCCTCGTTAAGATCTGAATCGCCTTTGATTCTTTGATTTCTACACGCGGATGGGTGCTACGGGCTCAAAGCTCGAGAAGGCTCTCGGTGACCAGTTCCCTGAAGGCGAGCGCTACTTTGGCCTTGAAAATTTTGGCAATACTTGCTACTGTAACAGCGTCTTGCAGGTTTGCTACTTCTTTGTTTTACGGGATGCATCATGCTTGTCGCTTGAATTTTATTTTTCTGTTTCCTAGGATCTTCGTTGGTTTATTGCTAGGGTTTTGTTTTCTTTATCGATGCATCCGTTGCGTGCGTAAGTTTCACGGCTTGGATTCCCGAGGCTTTGCTGTATGCGTTTTCTTTCATTCTAATTATTATTCATTTGTTTGAATAATGATCGTGGTGGTAACATTTTTCATCAATCAGCTAATTGCATTTCTAGCATGTTTTACGAAATGCACACTTCAATAATACAAATGCAGATTCCTTAGTTTGACGTTTGGTCCTTCTCCATTTTTTTTTTGTAATTTCGTTCCGTCTTTGAAATTCTCGGTTATATATAAACATTTGCATGCAACATGCTTATGTTGTTCAAAGTGTTCACAATCGGATATACTCAATTTTGAGAAGTTGATTCATCATATCATGTTTTGATTTTCTTACGAACGTGTATGCCACTTACGTTTTCCAACAGATTTTTTCTAGATGTATTTTATGGGCCCCCGGTGTTGTTCCTGTCAGAGTTGCGTTAGTTTTGTTTTTTGTGTCCTTTTTAGGATTAGAGTTAAGTGGGTACTTCCCCCCTGGCTATTCTTGCAAATGGTTGATTATTCATGGATTAGACGGATCATCATCCTGGATGAACTACAGTAACTTTTACTTGAAAATTTATGGATGCCAAAATTTTCTTTTGTACTTGTAGTGATTTAATATCATGCTGTTAACTTGTGTGAATTCAGTTTTTCAAATGTCGGTATGTTCATGGTGAAAAGTAGAAAAATGAGCGTGTTTTAATTTTCACATTTTCAAAGGAAAAGTACGTTATTTGTTCAGAATTTAAGATTCGATAATGGGATATTTAGGAGTCTTAACCGTAGATGGTATCTATGTTCTTGACTTCTATAAGTTCCCGTTGTTTACTGGCACGTCAAATGACATGTTCATGTTGGATCCCTTATAGCTGTAAATCTTTTATGGTCAAAGAAATATTTTGTTTAAAACTAGTTTAAAAGCATCTTCTCAATATCCAGCTTGATATTTTCTTTGTTTTGTCAAATAACTCTCTGAAATTGTCATTCGTATCTTACTCACCATTTGTTTTAATATTCAGGCACTGTATTTTTGTGTTCCTTTTCGTGAGCAATTGTTAGATTATTACTCAAATAGCAAAAGTATTGGAGACGCGGAAGAAAATCTCTTAACATGCTTAGCAGATTTGTTCACCCAGGTAATTTTATGGGGGGAAGAAAGTGGTGTCTATTTTATTTGGGTTCATTGCTCATCCTTACCTGACAGGATTTGTATTTTTTCTGCTTTGTTGTCGCTTTATGGTTTATGTTTGTGGATATTATTGCACAGACTTTACAGATCTAAACCTAGCATAGGAGATATTGGTTCTTAGAGAATACTGATGATATGTTTGAAGAACTTTTATTATATATTTGTTTTATTCTGAATAAGCTTCTTCTTGAATTACTTTTCATGCTCGTTCCAAGACTTTTTCACGGGATAGTTAAGAATTTGTATGAAATTTCAACTTCAAACCACATTCCTATGTTACTAAAAAGTAGACAGTACGGTGTTTGTTTAATTATATTTGTTACTTGTAAAAGTAAAGAGTAGGAGGTTAACAATTCTGTTGTTACAAGATTTATTGTAAAGTCTATGAGTATTAAAAGTTTTATAGCTATATAGACTTTGGATGAGGTTCTTATTGCTTATTAGGCTGATTGGAAGGATTTTTTTGGAAGATTCATTTTGAAATCCTCAGCATTAGAATGGTGGGGTTCGTTAAAAAAAAAAAAAAAAACATTAAATTGATGGGGGCTATTTTTGGAAAATGTCTTATGAAAGAAGGGACTTGAGTTAAAGTGGAGATCTTGGGTTTGGAATGAGTTAATTACACTATGTTAGTTAATGGGAAACCTAGGAGAAGAATCTTTAGTGAGCTTAGTTCTTTTTAAAGCTCAAGGTGCATCCTCCGGGGCTCAAGTGCTAGGTGAAGATAAAAAGAGCGTGATTTTAGGTAAGATGCAAAAAAATACATAAGGTAAAGTATATAGACACCTTCATGGAAAGCAATGAGGTTTATTTGTTAGGGTCTCATACGAAAAATTGTAAATAGTTGAGAGGGAGGAAGAGAGACTAATTATTATAAACTGAGACTGAGAATGAAATCGAGAGAAGAGAGCCAAGTGAGAAGTGAAATGGAGAGGAAGATAAGAATCAATTGGGGAGAGAGAACCCTAGTTCCAGTTATTCTTTACCTCTCTATTAGAGATGTTGATAGGGGTAGAACAAAAAAGAGGTGATGTTGTGAGTCGTATACGTATACATATATTTTCTTCCACTTTAGGTCATTGGCTATGTCTTCTTGGAGAATTCTATACAGACTGCACTTAACAAATTGATTAAAATTGTCTTTAGATTTCTAGCATATTCTTTTGTGAATCCTCTCTAAAGTTTTATGTTTCTATTCTATTTGATTTTCAAGATATATCGTTCTCCTTATGACCATAAAGAATTCTGTCCATGGTTAGGTTGGAATATAATCATTTATTCACCTCTGATTGCAGATAAGTTCACAAAAGAAAAAAACTGGTGTCATTGCTCCAAAGCGCTTTGTTCAGAGATTGAAAAAGCAGAATGAGATTTTCCGTAGCTATATGCACCAAGTACGTTATGAATTTTGTTTCTGAATGTCCCCACTTTGATTCTTACATTAACAGGGACTCATTTCCATATGAAAAATGATATTTTTATTCTCATTCATCGAGTCAATATTGTAATTAATTAAACCAAGGTGTTCAAATTTCACCTACCTTTATTTCTTTTATTTGGCAACTGCTGATGCAGGATGCTCATGAATTTTTGAACTTTTTGCTCAACGAACTTGTTGACATACTGGAGAAAGAGGCACATGCTACTAAAAGTGATGCAGAAAGTTCGTCACCGCCTGAAAAAATCTCCAATGGTCCTAAAACTGGTCAGACAAATGGTGCTCAAAAGGAGCCGTTAGTGACTTGGGTGCATAAAAATTTTCAGGTGATTTAGTCAGCCATTTTGATTGCATACACCCTATCCAACTCAGTTTTCTCTTTCTTCTCTGCTATAGGTAAGGGAAAATGTATGTTGCTTAGAAATATTAATGAGATAAATGCCATTTCAGCCTTCCTGTGTCTGCATGTCTGCACGCCTTTGCTTGCTAGTACATCGAAAATATTTTAAAGACAGCTATTTATGTAGATGAAATTAACTTTTAGGTTTTCGTTGGTTTTTTGTATTAGTGAATGCCCCATAGGTCAATCTAGTACGGCG